TCGTGTAGCTAGTAGTATCCAAACCGTCATATTTCTTTTTATTTTGCAATCCAGCATAGCTAATCCTTCTTATTATCTTTCTAACTCATAAGTGGACTAGATTACACTTACTGCTGAGTTTATGAATGCAGAGAAACTATCGATGTGTTCCGATTTGAACACGATCACTGTCGACATAGAAGTTGTCATGACTGCGTTGCGGCACCCCATACCAGCACATTAAACGAAAATGTACCATGGTAGAAGATAAAGAAATAACTAAGGTCGTAGTCAAACAGCAGTGCGCACCCACGAACCCACCAGGGATCGGACCCGCGACCTTCAGGTTTCGTGGGTAGCACGTTACCATTGAGCCACCTGGTCAGAATCCAATGGTCCATACTTTCCAACTTCTGTTAGCTCACAATATAGCGCAACCACCACCCAATATCATCGTTGAGTAACTGTCCTCACGACCATCAGGCTTTGCCTCCACCGGTCACGACTTCTCATTGGGTCTTCGTGAATACCTCTCGAAGCTAGTCACCAATGAGCTCCAGTTCAATTAAGGATTCAACATGATGTTAAATGCCTCGGTTATACTTCTTTCTTTGTAGTTTGAGAAACCCTTTTGAATAATTTTAATATTTTCAATACCAACTTTTTGACTATAATGGGTGGCATGAACAGCGATTGCCGACTTGATTTGTAGGTTCTCTAGTTCTACAGGGTTATTTTGTGGTCGTTTTTGTAACTTGCGTATTCTTTAGCACGGATGATCGGTTCATAGAGTGGATGATTCCCTAATATAATAAGCATCCCAATCGACAGCCTGATTTGTAGACACAATTTTGTGTGGAGGTAAAAGGGATTTTATCCTTTAGGTAAATTAAGGCACTCTTGAAAGTGTTAGTTGTCTTGTAGAATGTTCTAATTGAATGTTTTCCTAAAATCCTTTGTAGTTCTTCAGTTGTACCTTGGTTTAATGGTAGAACTACTATGCTACTGCAGGAATCATCATTTAGTTTTCCTCTTGGGTCTTTCTACTCATGTTTTTGAATCTTCTAAATGATATTCTTGGGATAGTTATTGGAATGTAACACAACTATCATATTTTTCACTTCCGTTTGTATGTCATCTTTATTCGTGATGAGCCTTGTCGCCCTACTAAGTGAGTTCCGAGCTAGTTAAAGTTTAGCACTGAGCAGATGTGCTGAATTGATATCAAGATATCTATATGAATATATTAATTTACGATAGACTTAAACTTCCATTTCCATTCCTTTTGACTAAACAGTTCAAAGGTGGTAGTTCACCACTTCCATTTTTTTATTCACATCTGAATTTAATATGTGGAGAATAAGTATAAAGTTATTCAGAAAATGTTCTAAGGTCAGATCTTTTTAAAATTACAAATGTTATCCCCTACGTATTTGAGCCAAGTCTGTGGTTTGATGGCGTTAGCAAAGATCATGGATTTAAGGAGAGACGTGAAGAGACCTGCAACGATAGAGGACACCAGAGAACCCATCGCTACTCCACTCGTTTGTTTATATCATTTTCTTCGACGTGAAAAGTGTAATTTAAACAAAATCTGAGAGCTTCCGTGATGAGACTGAGTTTCGAAGGAGATCTGTGTACCAATGTGTGGTTGTGCTCTACTAACTCACGTACGAACTCTAAACATTTTTCAATGGGAATTCTAGTAGGCAGTGTAACAACATCACAACTTACCGTTGTTTCATTCTCTGCGATAGGTAGTTCCGATATTTTTGAATTGAATTCTTAAGATTCTTTAGTTGAGCTGAGCATTGGACAAGCTTTGGCAATGTTGTGAACTTCTTCGATTATGCGATTTCCACGAAGTCGTGAAACGTCAAAGATTTATTTTTCACTTCATTGGGATCTTACAACTATATTTCATTGATAATCCATTTACCCAATTCTCAACTTGTTAAACTCTATCACGTCAGATTTTTTATCCGGAAGTCTATAAAATCTATTTTATTCATCCTGAGATTTGAAGAATGTGTAGGTCAGTTCTGACCGTGAAATATATCGAACACTTCAGTTGCTTGAGAAATGTCATCAGCCCGAACGAGCTGGTGGCTGACGAAATCACAGCTCGGATAAAGAAGGTTCGTCTAGCATTTGTAAACTTGCGACATTTCTGGCGCCATTTAGCGAGACATCCGACTACCTATCAAAGGACGAGTATACTGTACTGCAATCCCTTCTGTTCTGTTATACATCTGTGGTACTTGGCCGTTGAAAGCATGGGACATAAACTGGTTACTGGTCTTCGACTAAAGGTGTCTTCATAGTATTGCTCGCGTTTGGTGGGATCACCATGTGAGCAATATTGAGGTCAGACGAAGGGCACTAGGCGAGACAGGCAAGCCGATTGTTGAGGTTGTGAACCTTCGTTGGTTGAGATGGCTTGAACATGCGTTGCGCATGCATTGAGGTGCCATGATAGAGGAAGTTCGGTTAGATTGGGAAAGAGTTCACGGTGGCTAGACCAAGACGTTGCACTAGTCCATGGAGTCCTTAGTTGCTGGTTTGAGCTGTGTTGAGAAATGTAAAATAATTGGCGGGGGTAACTGAAACGAATAGAATCACTGGTTGAGGACTGCTGGTGATGTGGCTGGAGATCGATCACAATGATGCATATATATTCACTCATTGACATCCTTTTAAGCTTGAATATTCACTTGCTTATCCTCTAACAACTTTTTCTAATTGATATCACTCTTTTTGTATCCACCTGTTTCTTGTATACTAAATACTCTGAAGTATGTTATCTAGCCGATGGACTCCTGCAATGTCGCACGTTGATTTTGTCAGTCAGTCATAAGTATGTCTTGCATCAATCATGTGGCTAATTTTCTTTGCAATGGATGCACTGACACACAAGCCTACAATAGAATAGGATAATGCAACTGTAATAAAGTCCAACATAGGTTGAGAGAGATTCATTACCGAATGATTCATCGAATCAACACCTAAAACATGCAACTGGAATGACTCAACGCCTATATCATAGATGTGGAAAATCTTTACTGTTACTTAAAACAGAATAATGAGGTGATAGTGTGAAAACGAGATGTCGAAGGATGACTGTGAGCAATAATATATACTCGGAACATCATCAAGTCAATAAAACTGTATTACTGTGTGCTGGCTATATCAAATAAACAAAGCCCATCTGCTAACAGAAGTCGAGCAATTCGACCCTGTAAAGCAACTGGAAATCACAAGTAAAAAACAACACAAATCATTCACTGATTACACACAGTATGCGCTACTTATCTACTATGCAATAATAAACACTAATTAGTCCCCTAGAATCGAGAAAATTGTTATAAGTTAACCACCAAGTCGTCGTAGTTTGACCAGTGACTGTTTTTTCTTGATTTTATTGCCACTTATTTTAAGATGAATTCCCTGAAGCACTATCGAGCATTGTCTATGGTCCAACTGTTACCAGTCGAGGAAATTGAGAACTCCACACGACTATACAAGACTTTCAATTGCCATAAATATCGTTTTATAGTACGTGGTTTACCAAGAGTCACTGTGTATATCTGCTTTTGACTATATGGTTTATATTTGCATCTTTTTGTGCGTGATTTAAGCCGTCCGTTAGAAGCAGTACACTCTGATTCCTCATCATTTTTCTGCTGTTGTGAAGGTCATTTTCCACTGTAGTATCCAAATTGTGTGCATGTCATATTTCAATCAACTTGGAAATGTTACATAGTGAACTTGTTACTATGGGGCGTTAGCTCATTGGTTTAGGCATTCTACTTGACCTCTCAGCTACTTATTAAATCTTACCCTGCTTGTCTCTGTTCCATGAACTGAGTTTCTGCTTTGTCAGCCATCACATAATAATTGAGGCTCATTCCGGTAGACAAACAAGGTTGTGGAGCAGCATTTGATCGAAATTCTGGAACATAGGTGAACAGACACAGATTGGCAGCATGCCACAGGTTCATGTGCTAAGCTATGCGTACACCTAATGCATGGGAAAGTTATGATACTGCTGAGTTGACCAAACCAAAGTAGGTAGAGGGCATCCGGAACCTGTGGTCCCGCGGTTGACATCCAGATGTGTAGGCCACTGGGACATACTTAGCTCGGATAGTCAAATTCTTGCAGCATGGAATTGATGAAGTGTCCCTAGGAGATTGTTGGATGAAACGATACCTATTTCCATTTTATGTCACGCAGTGAGACCAATTTACGATTGTATTTCATTTTGAGCGAATATATGAGTTAAGATATTTAGTGCCAGATGCTGATACTACTATCGATACATACTATAAGTTTGGTAAGGCGAAATAATTTTATAAACACCAGATTTTATCATCTGTCTACTGCTCAAAACGTTTCTTTTAGTTATTGCAAGTACTCAAGTTTGCCTCTCTTTCAACATGACGAAATTATCTTTGAGAGTTATCAATGAAGTGGCCGCAAAATTGTAAGAAATTTAGGCTGTGGACAATTTGACAGCATGTTAATTCAAACGGGCTGGTCGTTGATGGAATCTCAGCTACGAAACAGAAGACTCATTTGGCTATTCTCAAATTACGTTATCTCGCGAGACGACTGGGAAGATATCCGACTACCTATTAAAAAACAAGTATACTACTCTGCAGCCCGTTCTGTCCTGTTATACAGTTGTGACACGGCTGCTGAAAGTAGATATGAAGAGACTACGAGTTTTCGACCATAAATGTCTTCCTAGCATTTCATGCATGAGATGGAATCACCGTACGAATACTCTCGATGCTAGGCGAAGTATACTAAGCGAGTCGGGTCGATGAGGTTAGGAACCTTCACTAACTGAAGTGGCTTGTACGTGTGTTGCGCATGCTGCGAGCTGGCACTTTCCTCACCAGGTAGGTAGGTGACAATCTTAAGTTGTTAAGCGGCAAGTTGGCATATGAGCTTTGAAACTTTTTCTTTCTATTTCTTGAAATCTATACTTTAATTGTGCTTATTTTGGTTTGTAGAGGAGAAGTAATCTGCTTACGGAACCGTGGGTTGTGTCAATCGCTGAACATCACAAAAAGACTCCGGCTCAAGTTCTCCTGCGTTATTTAGTGCAAAGAAACCTTATAGTTGTGCCTAAATCTGTAACAGCCAAGCGAATAGAAGAAAACTTCCAGGTATGCTAATGTTGCATTGGCTTAGTTCTTCTCGTGATAAATTAATTGTGCCTACTCCATAATTTTTGCACACATCTACGCTAAATTTGCTCTTTTGAGTATATTAATTAAAAGACGTCAGTGTAGTGACTGAAATCAATCACTTTATTGGTGTTCACGGGGAGTGTGTAAAAATTGAAGTCATTGTGATTAGTAGCATAATGACTTACTTGTCTTGGGGTTTCGAGGATTATTACGATTGCAGTGGATTTGAGCAATCATGAAGAGAACTATTGACAACAAAAGTTATGGACAATTTTCCTGATAGTCTGTTGGCTTTTCAATAGTCATCATCGGTTGTTGAAGCCTATGTTGTTCATTGACGAAAACGCTTGACTTTTAAGCAACGTTTGTCCTTGGTTCAAATCTCGGTCTCCCCTGTTTTGACCTGGAGAACACTAGTTCGCTTAGCCTTTGCACAATAAGTGTGACTTGTCGCGTGGTATATATGAATTTTTTGAGTTGAGTTGCATTCAATGTATAAGTATACCTCTCTAGACTTTTCCAGGATAGTGATGTTATTATGGCATATCCATCTGGTTATTGTTTGATTGCAGAGTAATTTACAAGTAGAATTATTCTGTAGCATTTTTTGTGTGAATACTTTCGGAAGGGGATTGTGCAACGAAAACGCTTATTTCTCAGGATGACGTGGGGTTGTTTGTCAGATTCACATTTAATATTTCAGTGTTCCATTAGAATAGCTGAACTGCGTCAAGTTGACTGAGGATGTTTCTCTTTGTAGTTGAATATTGGACTCGGCGTCGTATTTTCCATCAACTTTGGTTATCATAATCCATAATTGTACATGATCTAGAGAGTACTTAATGATGCGTTGAGTAGCTTTTCGCATTTCTTGGTTGTGTGTGAATTCTCGTACCTTTGGTGGAGACATGCTATGTGAAAGTGCAGTGTACTACATGAAATTGACTGAGGGATGAAAATAGGTTGGGGTTTGACTATGTGTTGTGATTGTTTCGTGTAGCGCTTCAATTTCCTTTTATTCTTTCGATAACGTTGTTAGAAGACGAAGGTTTCAGAAAAATGTGGTGTTTTTACGCAATAGATATTTCAAACAATCTGACCACACATTCACTAGTCAAGTCAATTTATAAATGAATATGGAAAAACGGTCAAATATGGTGAATGCGAAAAGGTTTTGACACTATTCTTGGTAATATAATCAGATAAAGATACCAAGATAAATTAAGTGAAACAACCAATTGTTTTTGTACACCCAATGGGGGCTTAAGTTAACGAATGGCTTACGCTTCGGCAATTTTCAGTTTGCGCCCCTGACTGTTGCTTTATAATATCTTTGATGCTGTTTTCGCATTGACTTTATGATTCATTTCAATGATGTTTTGCTAGAGATGAAGATGGATATCTGTTGGTCATACGTAAACCTAACCCCCTCGTTGTGTACAAAACAATTTGTTGTTTCACCTAATTTAAGTTGGTAATTTTTATTTGATTATATTATCAAGACTAGTGACACGATCTTTTCATATTCTTTAAATTCGACCTTCAGTTATTCATATGTAAATTGACTCGACAACTAAATGTATGAACAGATTAATCGAAATGTTTTGCGCAAGTATATGTGACATTTTTCAGATAATCATCATCTTCTAATTGCATTATCCAAATTCATAAAAGGGACTATTTGTTTAAATTCTTATTCTTTCCTTGACTGTAGATATTTGATTTCAAATTATCAAATGAAGAAATGCATCAATTAAATACAAAAGGCTTGAATGAGCGTCAGTTCAACTTACTGTCGTGAGTTTTTGTTTCTTCATATATAATCACTGAACAATATAAGCGTTTTACGGTTACTCGCCGAGCTAGGTTATTGATTCTAACATGATCAAATCTACACGATTGTTAACAAGGTTTAACCCATTCGTTATTCTATACATTCTTGTTTCCAATTTTTGCAAGCTTTGTATAAGTTTTAATTGCATTGAGTTTCATTATTCTGCTCTCTTTAACGAGTAATGATTGATAGACTTCTACACGAGGTTTCATGTTGCTACATTCATCTGTCTGACACTTGAGAATGTATGCAGCTCAAAGCCAATCAGGTTTCCCAGGCTTACAACAGAACTGTGCATATTGCAAGTCCTCTTGTCTAATATATTTTCAGTATTGATGTGTGGAATATATTGATATACCATAACACGACGACGGTAGTTAGTTCACTCAAGGTCTTCGGGACATCGCATGTATAATATGGTATTCATCTGACACAAATGTTCACATTTACTAGGGCTTCTTTTATCAGATAAGTTTCTAGGATGGAAAGTGTTATTCTTCGAACTGACTGGTCTAAAATGGGTAGTTTCAGTGAAGTATGCATTTTGTTATGTTATGTATCCCATTCAGGATCATGACAGTAAGATTCAACTCAAAAGGAAGAAAGGTCACAATCATACAATGTTATGCACCTACAAATAATGCAGAGCAAGAGAAAAAGGAGGAATTCTACAGACAACTTCAATCAACACTGGACAAGACGTCAGTTGGCGATATCAAAATTCTAATGGGCGACATGAATGCCAAACTGGGAGGGGACAACACAGGAAGAGAACTAACCATGGGTCGAGAGGCGCTAGGTGAAATGAATGAGAATGGAGAATTGTTTGCAGAATTCTGTGCATTCAACGATTTGGTGATTGGAGGCAGTGTGTTCAGGCACAAGGATATCCACAAAGCGACATGGACTTCACCAGATGGACACACTAAAAATCAAATCGACTTTATCTCAATCTCAAGAAAATGGAGACGCAGTCTACTTAACACAAGGTCAAGAAGAGGAGCAGATGTAGGTTCAGACCACTATCTAGTGCAAGGAACCTTCCAAATCAAGTTAAAAGCCTTCAAGGAAGCTGGTGATAGACCTCAATTCAAGTACAACACTCGGAAACTGAAGGATGAAACTACAAAGGAGATCTTCAAGGCAGCCATCAAGACAAAATGGGAGACATCGAGCAACATCCCTGAAGAAACCTGTGTGGAAGAACACTGGAAGTCTTTGAAAGCTATGTGGAAAGAAACCTGCACAACAGTATTAGGAAGGAAGAAGAAAGAAGACAAGGAATGGATCTCGACGGATACCTGGAAGCTGATAGAGGAGAGGAGGATGGTGAAGCAGAAGATAAACCAGTGCAAGGATGCTCAACGACAAGAGGAACTGAGCACAATGTATAAAACACTGGACAAAGAAGTGAAGAAGAGTGCACGCAAAGACAAAAGACACTTCTACGAAACACTGGCAAGTGAAGCAGAACAGGCTGCAGGTAAGAGAGACCTGACGACATTGTATCAAATAACCAGGTTGCTATCAGGGAAGAGACCAACACAGATGAAACCAATAAAAGATGAAGAAGGAAATTTAATTACAAAAGAAGAGAAACAGAGGAAACGATGGGCCGACCACTTCAAGAAGCTCTTGAATCGACCACCACCTGCACTTCGTCCAGAAATACCACCTGCAGCCGCTGAATTACAAGTGAACATAAATCCCCCAACGAAAATGGAAGTCCTGAACGCCATAAAGCTACTGAAATGCGGGAAAGCAGCAGGACCAGATGGAATACCGCCAGAAGCACTGAGAACAGATGCAGAGACAACAGCGGACATGCTCACACCACTATTGCAGAAGGTGTGGAAGGAAGAGAAGGTACCTGACGATTGGAAGAAGGGTTACCTTGTCAAACTGCCGAAGAAGGGAGACCTCAGTGCTTGCAAGAACTGGCGCGGAATCACTCTCCTGTCCACCCCAAGTAAAATATTAAGCCGCATCATCCTGGAGAGGCTTAAAGACGCACTGGATTCAAAACTGCGACCGGAACAGGCAGGCTTCAGGAAGTACAAATCATGTGCTGACCAAATTGCAACGCTTCGTATCATCATAGAACAGAGCGTAGAATGGCAATCAGCTCTCTACCTCAACTTCATCGACTTTGAGAAGGCCTTTGACAGCGTCGACCGAGAAGTAATTTGGAAACTGCTTCAATACTACGGAGTACCGCAAACCTTTATCCGCCTCATTCAACAACTATATGAAGATGCCACATGCCAAGTAATCCACAATGGGAAGCTCAGTGATGCCTTTGAAGTGAAGACAGGAGTGAAACAAGGTTGCCTACTATCCCCCATGATATTCCTTATTGTGGTGGACTGGATCATGCAGCAAACAGTAGGCAGCGAGAAGAGGGGGATACACTGGACGACGGAAAAGAACCTAGAAGACTTGGATTTCGCCGATGACTTATGCCTAATGTCACATAAACTTGAAGATCTGCAGGCAAAAACTAACAAGTTGATAGAAGAGGCAGCTAAGACGGGACTTCAGGTGAATATAGAGAAGACAGAAGTGATGAAGATACCGCACCACCACCATCAACAACAACAACAAACTCCAATCACCGTCAACGGGAGAAACTTGAAGGAAGTAACCTCCTTCACTTATCTAGGAAGCACTGTTTCAACTACAGGCGGGACGGACGAGGACGTCAAAGTCAGAATCGGAAAAGCAAGACAGGCGTTCATTAGCCTGAAACCAGTGTGGAGATCTTCTGCACTCAGCATGCGGAACAAGATACGGATTTTCAACACCAACGTCAAGTCAGTGCTCTTGTATGGCTCAGAGACTTGGCGCGTCACGAAAGGCATTTCCAATAAACTACAGACATTCATCAACAACTGCTTACGCTCGCTGCTGAAGATCAGATGGCCAGAAAAAATAAGCAACAAGGAACTCTGGGAACGAACCAACCAAGAACCTATCACGCAACAAATATGCAGGAAGAAGTGGAGATGGATTGGCCATGCACTGAGAAGGCCGACTGAGGACATCACGCGTCAGGCCAGTTGCTCGAGTGGAATCCCCATGGGAAGCGACGAGTTGGACGTCCGAGGGTGACATGGAGGAGGTCATGCGAGGAGGAAATGAGAGCTTCTGGGCTGTCGTGGAACCAGGTTCAAAAGATCTCAGAGAACAGAGGTCACTGGAGGCGTGCTACTGAAGCCCTATGTTCCACTAGGAACCCAAGGGACTAATAATAATAAATAATAATGTATCCCATTGTATTTTCTGAATTGTTTTCTTTTGTAGAATGAGTGAACATCCTGAATATCCATTTAAAGAGGAATATTGAGAATCTGATGCATGCGAAAGGGAGATAGACTTCAAATTAATTCATCTCATCTTCAAAAAGCTTTCTATTCTTTCTTACATGAGTGTATTTAACATGTTTTAAAAATAAAAATCGTATTTGATTAAATTCGTGTTCTAGCTATTCAGTCTAATGTACGGTTGAAATTGAAAGGCTGTTGTTGTTAGTACTTTCCTTCGAACTTCACTACTATTACACTACTACACTAGTAATACTCTACTGTTACTACACTACTACTTTACGCTGGTAAGGCTTTCTTCAATAGCCATAGTTTGACAGCCTGGTATTATTGATGTGGAATGATGATTGAAGCTGGAATAGAAACCTGCGTCTGAACCAGTAGCTACCATGTTAGTGTCCTGGTGCTGATGGCCACAAGGCGATGTTCAGCTTCTCTAAAGTCTTCATTCCCTTATCACAAGACTACCTAAACTATTGGGTTTGTGAAGTGAGGTTTAGCACCTACCGCTTAACCATGACATAAGAGTGGTAGATTTGCCTTGAAGAACGTTTAAAGTGTTTTCATATCACATGTGATAAATCTTTCTCTTTCCTACAGCTCTTTTATGATCTAGCATTTCACTACTCTCTAGTATTCTCACTTTTAATTGTTATACGTCGCTCCAAATTTTAAAAACTCAAAGATCTGGTAGCTTCGTCGCTAGGAATTATGCTAATAAATTAACGCCCTACAGAATATCCTTCCATAAATAATGGTCTAAGAATTTGTGTATAACTTACAATTGCGACTCTTCAAGACTAGTTGTCACTAGATGTGCACAGCCAGAATTCTGCTTGCTTCATTTACAATAACCAATGCAATATCATTCCGTAGACGCCTTATGGGAATGAATGCTGGTACTTCGCCTTTCCATACCTTTTTCATTTATCCATGAAGTTCATATAAAATAACTAAATTAAGCTTCACGGCTACTTCGAAATAATCGTTTAGTAACAGAGAGCACCTAGTCGATTAGCGGGATCATTACTCGACACTTCTTTGTCATTTACTGTGAACCGTTCTCGAATCGTCTGCTCTGTGTGGGAAGACTAAGTCAGTCGACATATGTTTTGAGAAATCATACCTGCTCTTATATTTTAATGATCTAGTAGTACAAAAGTTGTCCTAAGGGTACATTCGTTTACTAACCCTTGTGTATCTCATATTGATGTTACTCTAACATTATTAGGCATCTACCGTGTTTGTTTATACTTCCTTATGCACATACATCAACCACAATGAACATGAGTATCTAAAACTCTCACCCTGCAACTAAACAGCATGTCACTATGGCTACTAATATAGGTTGCCATGCTGATTATCCCTGAATAAATGTTCGAAATAAGCCTTTACTCCTCGCATAGCC